CTGCGAAACTGGCCCCTCTTCCGAGGGCTGCCGCGGGGCCAGCGGGGTGACGCCGGTCGCATGCTTCCAATAGACATCGCCATCCCTGGGGGGCTGCGATCTGCGGCACTGCCTCCTCTTTCGAGGGCTGCTGGGGAGTCCACCGGAGTGACGCCCCACGCGGACCTACATTAGACCTCACCATCCCTGGGGGGCTGCGATCTGCAAAACTGTCGCGGCTTTCGAGGGCTGCTGGAGGAGGGTCCAGCAGAGTGACGCCGCACTCGGACTTACATTAGACCTCACCCTCCTTCGGGGGGCTGCGATCTGCGACGCTGCCTACTCTTTCGAGGGCTGCTGGAGAGGGAGTCCACCGGAGTGACGCCGCACGCGGACCTTAATTTGACCTCGCCACCCCTGGGGTGCTGCGATCTGCGAAACTGTCGCCACTTTCGAGGGTTTCTGGGGGGTCCAGCGAAGTGACGCCCCACGCAGGCCAGCTAGACCTCGCAACCTCTGGGGGGCTGCGATCAGCAAAACTGTCGCCACTTTCGGGCTGCTCGGGGCTCCAGCGAAGTGACGCCCAGTCGGACATAATTTAGACCTCATCACCCCTGGGAGGCTGCGATTTGCGAACAGTGGCCACTTTTGGAGGCTGCTGGGAGGTCCAACGGAGACACGTTCACTTTTCGGCCCCTCTTCCATAATTGTCCTGCCCATCGTTCCCACCCCAACTTCCTCTTCGAGCCGGGGGCCTCAGTCCTTGTCGTTTTTGGTGTTGTCCTGTCAGTCGCGAGACGCGCGCACCTCCCTCATAGCTTGCACACAACCAATGACAAATCCTGCTTTGCCATCTGCCAACTGGACCAGCTCCTCTTGCCATTTAGTTCAGATGGGCCAAGTACGTCGCAGAGTATTGACCCATAGTGCACCCCAGCGGCACCCAATGGAAGCCAGCAGAAAAGGAACGGAAAAGTCATCGACCGCCAATCAGATTTCAAAAGTCACCGCAGTGGGTGGGGGCAGTGATTCATAAGGAACTGCTCGGGCGATCCCGAAGAAATGTACAGGGACTCTGGGGCCTCATGATGGCAAAGGTGGGCGTCAATATTTCCCCAAGAAAGCAAGCACTAGGATGCCGCCATGACGGCCCAAGCGGCCTCCAAGACGACCCGAGATGCCACACGAAGCGCGTGGGAGGCTCCAATAATCTCAACTAGAAGCCTCATGTTTATCGCCTTCCACGCTTTTCGGCTCAAGATGGCTTGATAACGCGCACCCCTGGCCTCAAGACGGCCCCTAATGGAGCCAATCATTTCCGCCGAAGGCCCGAGAGAGTCCCATGGAGGGCCCGCAGACGGCAGGAGCACTGCCCAACGTGGTCTCCAGAGAGCGCTAAGATACCCTAACATGGCCCACGAGGGCCCCAAGAGACCCCCGAGATGGCCCCGAGAGACCACAAAAGACGCCAAAGACGACCCACGAGGGCCCGAATAACCTCCCGGACAGCCCAGGGCGGCCACATGAGGGCCAGCTGTCGCTGCGAAGCCATCTTATCTCCCACTCCCCCCATCTCCTTCCCCAGCTTCTCGTCTTGCTCCTTGTCCTTCTCCTCATCATCCTCCACCTCGTTCTCCTCCTTCTCTTCATCCTGGCCCACCTCTTTTTCCACCTCCTCTTCCGGCCCATTGCCACGCTTCTCTGCGCTTTGTTCCAGCAAGGCTCGCTTGAGAAACGCCCATGCCCCGATATCGAACACGCCAAGCGGCCAGACGGTGATGAGGGCGCCAGCCCGACGCATCAGCATCCGTGCGCACTGCTTCGTAGCCACCCCGCCCTCGCCTCTCTTCCTGTGCCCCGCCGATCAGCGCCAGGCCCACCTTGTCCAGGGCCATCTTCCCCGCGTTCAGGTCCTCCCTGGCTGCGGCGCCCACGGCTGCCAGGCTCATGACCCACGGCGGCACGGCCCCCACCCCGAGCTTCTTGCAGAACTCGTTGCAGAAGTGGCAGCAGTTTCGCTTCACGAGGTCGTAGCTCTCCGCCGGCCACTTGGCCTTCAGCACGCAGAGCAGCCTGTCGATCTGCTGACGAGTAAGCTGTGTGGTGCCCATTGGCACCGCCTCCCTGTAAGTGTGGGCAGTGTTCGCGCGCGGGCCATTCCAGAATATACCGCTGCCCTCCCGGCTCACGTTCCCGAACGTCCACTCCCGGCCGTATCCGCAACGTACCCCCTGGCACGATGAGACGTGGTAGAAACTCCGAGGGCTGTCTGGTCAGGTTCCCATGATGTTCTGGGCACCACTCTTTCCCGAAACACGCAACAGCATGTATCGTACAACTTTCCATTGCTCGAAAGTGCTAGCCCGCATTCCCGAGGCCACCATCCTTCTTACAAAATAGTGCGCAGTCGCTCCGGAGACAACGACACCCCCAGTAAAATCATACACCTCGGCGGTGGAAAACCCGAAATACCAATATTCAACGCCAAAACCCCCATGTGTCCATCTCATTTTCCTGGCACGGCCCGTTGTGAATATCTGGCTGTGGGCGTCTGGGTGTGAAGACGAGTCTGGATGGAGGGGCGACGACGGCGGCGGCTCCTCCAGGGGTTGCCGAAATTCTACGCCTGCTATGCAGGTGCGATCACGAGGGCCTCTCAAGAACAGAGTGTGGACCAGAACGCGAGCAAACCGCTTGAGACAACCCGACAATGAGGCCACGAACGAGTCAAATGGACTACCCTCTGGCGGCTCCTCCTTGGGCCTCCCCAGTGCTACGCTTGCTATGTCGCGGCGGTCACGGTGCCCTCGCAAGAAAGCAGTCCGAGCCACCAATCAGGCAAACACCCTGAGACATCCTCAGAATTTGCGCGCAAGCGAGTTCGTGCAACACCTCCTGGCGGTTCCTCCGTGGGGTGCCTAACCACCACGTAGGCACGGAGGCATCCCTAGAATCCCCCCGCGAACGAGCCTGTGCAGCACCTCCTGGCGACTCCTCCTCGGAGGGCCCAAAGGCCACGCCTGCCGAATCGCGGTGATCATGGGGCTTTCAGAAGAGAAAGGCCGGAGCAACCAAACAAGCAAACCGCCTAAGACACCCCAGAAACCTGCAGCGGTCAAATATACCCCTCCCTGGCAGCTCCTCCTTGGAGTGCCCAAATGCCACGCCTGCTGCATCGCGGTAGCCACAAGGTTCTCACGAGAAAAGCGTCTGAATCGCCAAACAAGCGAATCGGTGAGACATCCCCGCAATCTGGGCGCGAATTGGCCCGTACAACACAAGCTGGCGTTCCCCCCTAAGAGTGCCCAATGAAACGCTGGGCACATCGCGAGGATCATTGTGCTGCGAGAGGAAAAGGGGCTGGAGGGGACAACAAAACAACAAACCACCTGAGACATTACCAAACTTTGGGCGCGAACCAAACATCGATCCCCTCCCTGGCGGGTCCTCCTTGGAATGCCCAAGTCCCACGCCTGCTGTATCGCGATGAGCATGCGACTCTTAAAAGACAGGAGTCTGGATGGGAAACAAGTAAGCCGCATGACGCACAAGTGTGCACTGCCCTGGCTGCCCCTCTTTTGCGTCCCCAAATGCCACGCCTGCCATAACGCGATGACCCTGGGGCTCCCATGAGGGAAAGGGACTGGGGGGCAAACAAAAACAAACCGCTTCAGACACCCCATTAATCTGGGCGCGAATTGGCAAATGTTTCCCTCACCTGCTGCTCCCCCTTGGGGCGCTCAATTGCCACGTTTTCTGCATCGCGATAAGCATTAGGCGTAAAGAAAAAGGAGGCTGGGAAAGAAACGTATCAAACCGCCACAGACTGGGAGGCTGGGAGACATCCCCACGCTCTTTGCGCGAACGGGCACGTGCCCCCCTCCCTAGCGGCTCTATCTTGGAGTGCCCAAAGGATACACCAGGTATATCGCGATGATCAGTGTGCCACCAAGAAACATGGCTGGAGGGGGGGCGGGCCTGACACACGCAAAACGCCAGATATATCCCCACAAACAACGAGCGAACGCGAAGCGCCCCGCTCCTTGGCGGCGCCTCCTTGGGGGCACCCAAATTCCACACCTGCAGCATGGGGCTCTGAAAAAAGTCAGAATGTCAGCGAGTCTGAGTGTGAGTAAGTCTAAGTGTGCGTGTGCATCTGAATGTGAGTGGTCTGCGTGTGAGTGGGTCTGAGCGTGAGTGAATATGGGTGTGAGTGATTGTGAGTGCGGGTGAGTCTGCGCGTGAGTGAGTGTGAGCACGTGTGGGTCTTAGTCTGAGTGATTCTGTGTGTGAGAGTGAATATCAATGTGAATGAGTTGTAAT